GTGCAAAGGCCTGAAAAACATGCAAGGCTGCTCCTGGAAAAGACACCCAGAAAACTGCTTCAGTAAAATATTCAGGAAAAGTCACAGCGTCTGCATCTTTTTCACAGCATGGTTAGAGGAGATCCCCAGGCAAATTTAATCAGAGTTTCTAGTTCCAACATGCATTTTATTAACCCCGTGTTTTATTGTTCAACCTAGACATTGATACTGCGTCAGTTTTGGTTTTACATACTCAGAAATACTGCTAAAAATCCAGCTATTTTCCGTGATGCTTGCGACTGCATTCATTACCAAATAAAACGTTAAAACTCCTTCCAATTGTAGCATCTCAGAGATAATGTGTAAACCACATTAGCTACGAAGCTGAGGAATCTGGCACTCAGCGTAATAAAACACCCGGTTATTTTGTATTTTATTAACTGCCCCTTCTCTTCAGTTTGCATAATAGTGAGTTAGATTTACATTTGTTAAGACGGCCGTGCATTACTCTTAATAGAAGACATGTCAAACTTCCCATTGCCGGCACTGCAGCATGATAAAGTAACCTCATATGATACTGATGAAGATTTCGTTCACACTTGCTGGTTTCATGCAACGTCTTTTTTTCCAGATGGATACCCTATTGTAAAATGATTTCCTGCTTTAGGCTCTGCTTTGTGTAGCTCTCCGCTATGCCATCTTTCTATGAACTGGATAAACTGCCTATTAAATTTAATTACAGCCTGAATGACTGCACATCTTGATCTTATTTTTCCTCCAATGTACTGTATTTCACCAAGGTCCTTGAGGATGAAATAAAATAAATCTGAAGGATGCATACTCCGGTAGCCAAAAGAAATGTTTCAAAGGGCATTACAATGACTGTTAACCCATTAGTTTTGGACCATTTTGAAGGCAATTCTTTAGGTTTAGGATTATAAAGACATTTTCTCCTATCTCTTCTTCTGTCATTTAAAAAAGCAAAACAAAACAAAACAAAACAAACCCAAAACAAAATAGAGGAAGTTCCCAGAATAAAAATTCAGACAGAAATGAAGAAGTTAATTTCTCATCCCTTGGAAAGGGAGAGCGGGTAGGAGCGCGTAGGCGCCTTCGAGCTGTTGGGCACGGTTGGCCTCTCCTCTTGCAGGAGGGGTGCGGGAACGTGGCTGCAGGGGAGGGGGAGCTCAGGCTGGCGCTGCCCTTGGGACCCGTCAGGGCTTTCCCCTTCGTGACTGAGGGTGGTCGTGGCGCCGGCAGCCCCGGCCGGGGGGCACTGAGCATCCCCCCCAAGCTGAGCTCACCCACCTCCCCTCGCCGACCTCTCCAGGCCCCGCGTCCTTCCCCCGAGCCAAGGCAAGCTGATAAGCTGCGGCTTCCACGGGTTGCCCAAGAGGTGGGCGGGCGTCCTCACCGCCAGCAGGGATGGTGGCAGGGGCACTGGAGAGTTTTCCCCAGGCAAGTGCAGCCCGCGTAAATCGAGTGCGTCTCTGCGGCTCTTTGTCTGCCACGTCCGTTAGCCTGCTGGGCCGGGACTCCTCGCACGTAACTTTAATGTGAAAGTTAACTGACATTTTGACCAGCTAAGACTAAGGCAGCCGATTGCGTCAGCGTCGCTTGCGGGTGCAGAGAAAGCCACCCCCGAGCAGATTTCCCCTCCCCGCCCGAGGTGCCCGGCTGGAGCGGGTGGGCCTGCTTTGGGAGATGCCTCCCTTTCGCCTTTAGTCGAGAAGCTCAGATGAGATGTGGAAGAGACAAACTCTGCCTCTGGTTTTCTGTCATTGCAGCTCGGCACCTTTTGCAACTTTAGCACCAGCATATTTTTACAGGTAAAATCCCTCCTGCAGGGAAGAGGAGACTGCCCAGATGCTGGAAGCAGCTGCCGTGCACATTAAACTTGGTGGCTCATGAAGTAGCGGGGGGGACCGTCACGCTGGCCGCATCCTAAACAGCACTGGCTCACGTGGTGGCAAAATGGGAATTTGCTGCGTGCTGGGGAAGGAGGAGAGGGGCCTCGGGTGTTTCAGAGCTCTGTCTGAAATTACCCATTGCTCGTCACCCCACAAGAACCACATGGGGGGTTGAAAACAGCTGACCGGGTCTCCCTGTGACACCATCTTTTGTTGGACTAGCGTCAGATAAATCACAGTAACTTCTGAGTCAGCCGGTTCTTGGCTAACGTGTTTAACTCCTTCCAAGGGTTAAGTGGTCTCGACACAAGTTTGCTACACACGCTAGCAAATTACGGGCTTTTCGGTTAAGATTGGTGAATATATGGAAACACTGTCTGAAAGATGCAGCTGGAATGTCCTTGTAACACTTCAAACAGTAGTGTATATGTTGGATGCACCAACAAAAGAGCGTGTAGCACTCATCAGTGCACATGGTATTTTTCTTAAAGTCACGTAAAGAAATGCTCTTTAATTCACGGGAGACTGTCGCTTGAGAAAGCTGCAAGACTCTCGCAGAGCCACAGAGCAGATAAATTAAGTAGAACTAATTTGATAAGACCTTAAGTATGTGAAACTGTGTTCCAAATATTGTGCTGCTTTTTCCAGATGAGGACCTGATATTCTTGTTCCACTGTTCATTTATATTTCCTGGGGTACAACTGTAAATTGTCTCTCTCAATGCACTTATTATATAATGGCAAGGAAGAATAATGGTAGTGGCATTTGGAAATGTTTAAGTTCATTTGGATTCCTTGTACAGATGGCCTCTGCAATCATAAGTATCAGAGAAATATCCAAGGAATTTTCAGGCGATTAATCCAAGTTTAAAACCAGCATCATCCCAACAGCAAGCTGCAGAAAATGCCTGGAATGTTAATAGAAAGTACTTCTGGAAGGAGTACTCGGTTGTTGTTTCTTTCTCTTGAAAACCGTTTACTGAAAGGGACGTTGTTAATTTATGGTGCCTTCTGTCTCTCCTTCCAGAACTCCAGCGCGGATCATCGGGTTCGACTGGACCTTGGGCTTTGGGACAAATTCAGTGAACTTGCAACAAAGTGCATTATTAAAATAGTGGAATTTGCAAAGCGATTGCCAGGCTTTACAAGTTTGACCATTGCGGACCAGATAACTCTACTTAAAGCAGCCTGCCTGGATATACTGGTAAGTACTTTTAACATCGTTATGCTTCCAATGTGTTTTCTATTTCCCTTTTTACTGCAATCGACAGCGAGACAGGGGTCGAATACTGCCCCGGCCTTATGGTTGCAAACTTGGAACTTACCAGGGAGTTTGGCACGGTCATGAGCGGATGCTCGCGTGGCTGCAGGTGTGTGTTGCGTGGGACGAGCATGCTTTTCAAAGGAAGTCCTCCTAGTTCGTGGATTTCAGAATAGTTGCAAGAAGGGCACAGGTTGGTACTGCAGCACTAGCTTCAAGTGTGTGCAGCTCTGGGAAAACTTCTTCATTGTTAACACTGAAGAGAGACCTGAGTCTCTTTCGTTCCTCCTCCCTCCAAAATACCCCCGCTCGGTATGAAGGACACCTAGAAAGACAGTCCACTGTATGATGTTTTCGGAACGCGCTGTACCTGGGGTCGTGAGGTAACTCAAGGAACAAGATACAGATTTTCAGAGCGAGGTTTCTGCAGGCTGTGGAGGGCAAACTGGTGTGCCTGGAGCTCAGCAGGCACGCAGATCCCGCTGCTTTCGCCACTGCTGCAGGCACCTGTGGAAGTGGATGCTGTAATGGACTCTGTGCAGATTTTAGCTAAATGTAATTTAATTTTAAATAGGCAAGCGTATGACCTGCAGCAGGGAACTGTGCAGGTGGGTTTGGAGTTTTTCTCCAGACCTTGCCTTGCCACTGTGTCAAGGCAAGCTGCCTTCCCTGCCTTTGCCTCCGGAGGTTCCTGTCACACTGACCTTCAGAGGAGCCCTCTGGGATCTCAGCATCTCTTTATCAAGACCTTAGAGGTCTTCAGGCTTGTAGTGGCAAATATGCTGCTTATTATTGGTCCTAAAGATAAACTCTCAGTAAACCAGTATTTTCAGCATGTTTTAAACAAATTCTGAATTTTTTCTTCTAAGCACAAACCTTCAGGTCTTCACTGAGCCAAGCGTGGCCGGGAAGCCCATTGTAGGGTGGCTACTGTAGATACATTTTTTGGCGTAACACAGGAGTTTAAACTAGGGAATTTGAAGTCGAAGTAATTAATCTTGGAATTTCTAAAAGTGCATTGCTTCAAACAGGATCATATTGAGGAGGATGTTAGCTGCTGTGACCTTTTCCTCTTGCTTTGTCAAAAGCGGTTCCGGAGAATCGCATGTAGAGGACATTGATGAAGGAGGAAGAGGGGTGGGAGACGGGAAGGGATAGCGTTCTTTGGCTTATAAAAAAAGGGAGGTTGAGGTTGCCCTGCCGTGCTGGAGTCGCCTCTCGTCCCCTTCCTCCAGGCACTCGCTCAGACTTGGCCAGCTCCCGCTGCCACGTGTGGTCCCCCCGCCCGGCAGCGCCGCTCGGCACCAGCTCTGTCCTGGGGAGACACAGTTACCTTCCCCGTACGCCGACAGGCACGCAGGAACGGGGAACCTGGGGCATTGCCTCCCGTGTGTGCTGCCAGGGGCGCAGGGCGGGAAATGCTTTGTGCTTTGCTTTATACAGAAACCACCCCAAAACGGTGGGGAGGAGTCGGGATGTAGCAAGAATCTGCATATCCAAGCTCTTTACCCCGAAAACTTCAGCCCCCCCCGTTTCTTGCTGCCATGCCCTGGCTCCGTAGCTGCCGGGACAAAAGCCCCATGCCCCAATTCTGTAACTGCTCAGGACCCCGCGAGCTCCTGGTGCTGTTTGGGGTGGGTAGTGGGAGCTCACCTCGGGAGCGTGCGCGGCCTCGGCTGCAGGGCCCCCCGGCAGCTCTGCTTGCGTCGCCAGCACTGCCTGGGCAGTAGCAGGTGTGGGGGGAGCCCTTCCGATTGCAGTTCCATCTGAAGTGCCTAGATAACGGCACTCCACAGCCTTTGATCACAGTGACTAAATAAAAGCCTAGTTGCCAGATTAGAAAAAGAATAATGAAGCAGGTGGTAAACGGTGACTTTATTTCAACTACTTAACGAATAGAAGGGATTGATTCTTTAATACAGTTCTCCACTTCTACTTTGTGGCCATGTGGCAGCCTTCAAGCTCTAGTTACAAACTTTGCTGAGACCTGTCGTTGCCGATCACCTCCTCATTCTCCTTTTTGTTTTTCACGAAGCTGAAGGGCGACACATCTGAGCAGGCAGGGCATAGTGAGGGCCATAGCTAGCCGTAGCAGGGAGGAGCTGAGGCTTTTCCAAAAACAGGGGCTGGTAAGAAATGCTTGCCAGGAAGAGTCCTGACTTTCCTGCACGACATTTACACAAGCTTTATGTGGCTATTTTATGTGCTGCTTAAAAAGAAAAAGGGATAATTACCAGGAGCACAGCGATGCGCAGTGCACACGCTGTCTGTGCAATGCCCATATCCATTAAACCCACATCACCTGCACATAATCAGATTTGCACCGCAGCTCTGATTCTTTATTTAAGCTAAACTTCAGTACTTGGAGCAGTGTTGTAACAGTGTGTATTTCCCCCACCCCCAGCAAGCTAGTTCTCCTAATTGTGAGCGTTCTGAACATCTTCTTGTGCGCTGAGGTGTGGCGTGAGCACCGTGTCCGTGTCCCTTCCTGCTGCATGAGCACCCGCCGCCGGTGCGTGCCCATGGGGTGCCATGGGCACCTCGCCATTCCACCCCCACCATCCCACCCCCTCCATCCCACCCCCCTCCATCCCGCCCCCCTCCATCCCGCCCTCCCCATCCCACCCCCCTCCATCCCACCCCCTCCATCCCACCCCCTCCATCCCACCCCCCTCCATCCCTCCCCCTCCATCCCACCCTTGCCATCCTGCCCTCCCCATCCCACCCCTGCCATCCCACCCCCTCCATCCCACCCTCTCCATCCCACCCTCGCCATCCCACCCCCCTCCATCCCACCCCCCTCCATCCCACCCCCTCCATCCCACCCCCCTCCATCCCGCCCCCTCCATCCTGCCGCCGTGCAACACCCTGGACGTGCCCCCCGAGCCGTGGGGCAGCGGTGTGGGGCTCCCAGCACGGCCGGGGAGGGGGCTGGCCAGGCTCCCACCACCAGCAGGACCCCAGTTCACTGCCCGCCCACCCAGCAGCACCGGCTCTGGGCTGTGGGGACTCTTGAGCATTTACCTGCTGGGTTGGTTCCTCCGGCCGTGGAGGCCCAAACCCCTCGACAGGCTGGCAAAGGAGACGGGGCCAGGAGCCCGGGAAACTCGCTGGGTACGTGCCAGAGGAGTGTTTTATATACAGACAAGCAAAACCGCCGGAAGGGAAAGAACAGCAAGCCTCGCAAGGCAGCTGAAGGCGCCAGTCGAATATGGTGGAATTCATATCTGCTCCGGTGCCAAAAGTTTCGGGGATAAATATTGCTAAAATTCAGCCAGTAACCCTGGTAGAAGCGAGCGCTTCTGGCGGTTGGTGCCCTGGCCCGCCCGCAGCCGCGCAGCCCCGGCCTTGCCCAGCTCTGGCAGATTGAACGTGGGAGGAGTCCAGAGTCCAGCCTCTCCTAAATCCAGTGGATAAAAACCTGCAAAGGCCCCGAACACTAATCCGTAGTAATGCCATTTTTGCTTCCTGTTGTAAAACCCTGCGCGTTAGTGCTGGGAAGGCATCTGTGTGTGCGGAGCGACGCGTGCTGATGGGGTACGGCACCACCGTGGAGCTTTGTTCATTGTTTCAGAGTCACCCGCGTGGGTTTCGCCTCTCAGGAAACTGTCCCAGACAGCTAAGGCAGCTAGCACCTAGAAACAGGATTTCTCAAAAAAAAAAACAAAAAACAAAAAACAAAAAACAAAAAACAGCTTGCCTTAACTAATCTGTTTAAAATGAGTAACAATTCTATGGTAGCAACAGTTTTGTAAATGCAACTTTCTGGATGGTTTTGTGCAGCCTGTAGGGTTTTTGCTTTGCACTTTATAACTGGCTCATAGGAATCCCAGATGCTTTAAGATATAAATATTCCTTGAAACAAAGGGTCCTTTAATCATAGGAAAGAACCTTATTTATGGCTGCAAGTGGCATTTAAGAGCAGAGTGACAACTAAAATACTTGGCTTGGTTACAGAATCTAAACAACATTGAGGACATTTAGGAGGACGTCTTGTAGACAGTGGTTCAGTTTAAAACAGAGAAAGAAACCGTGATTTCTTATTTTGAAGTGCTGATATTTCCCATATGTTCTTCAGTGAATATGAGCTTGAAATCGGCTTGTCTTTGACACTGGAAGTTTGCCCGAGAAAGGTTTAGCAATGAATCTGCAATATCCGTGGCGTTTCACAGATCTTGATGAAGGACACAAATTTTTACAAAATGACCAAAAAAAAGAACAAAACCCCAAAAGCAACAAACGTGTCAAACGCTCAGTCTGGGGGCTGATGCCAGAGGCGTGCGGGGAGGCCGAGGTGCGCTGCGGCAGAGCGGCCGCAGGCTCCTGGCGCTGGCGGCCGGCGCGGCAGCAGGTGGGTCGGCAGGCCGAGAGGCTGCCCTCCCCGCTGCCTAAGCCGAGCGAAGTGGCCAAACTCCGTGGGACTTCTGTGTTTTAACTGCAAAAGTTTGCAAGGCCCCCGGCCGCGGGCCTCCCTCTGTGCGTGCCCCTCTAGGCTGAGGAACCTGGCCCCGAGCTCTTGCCGGGTGAGGATGCACCCTGGGAGCCTTCCTCCGCGTTAGCCCCGGGGGAGGTGAGCCGGTGGGACTTTGCCGAGCACCCCCAGCACGCACCCCGCCGGCGGAGCGGGGCTGGCGGCGCCGCGTTGCAGCCAGGGAGGCAGCAGCCTGCGCCGGGGCAGGAGGTGCGCGCCGGGCTGCGTGGGGTGGCTGCTCGGGGGCACCCCGCTCCCCCCAGGCCGGTGGCCAGGCCTTGCCCTGCTCGGGCAGCTGCAGGCAGCCTGCGGGGACCAGCCCAGCGTGGCCCAGTGCAGCTCCAGGTCCTGCTCCGCGTGGTTTGTGGGGCCGCGAGTCCCGAGGGGCTGGAGGGAGGAACTCCCGTTGCTGAGGCTTATCCGTTAAAACAGCACGGGAATCAAAGGGGCTGCCTTTCTCCCCAGCCGAGCCGAGGGAAAATCAGTGCCGCTTAAGAAGTGCAGAACCTTGTCCCTCCAAAAGTTGGCTACCTGGTCGTCACAGGCCGTGCGCTACCTGGGAGGCAGCTGCTGCTATGTGCCGGCTTCGGCGGGGGAGAGCTGCACTCCAGCTTCTCTTGCGTGCCACTGGAGAGGTAAACCAAGTAGCTCTCAGGTTTCTCAGTGAATATGCAAAGTTTTCAAACCTCGCTTTGCCTGAACACAGCGAACCCTGTATGTTTCTTCTCCTTTCTATACAGTCCTTTCAATGATTCGAACGGATAACCGCCAGCCAACTCCAGGGGAGAGAACTGCCGGTGGTTACTGGCAGCACAGAATTGGGTAAACATGCCGGCTCTCCCTGACAGGGTGCCATGCTTTAGAACGTTAATTCCTGCTAATAATCCTGAAATACACTTTGACTGCTACGTAAAGCCTTCGGAGTTACCAGCAGTGTTTTAAGATCACTTATATTAGTGGCAAAGTTGTGGTCAGTGAAGAACTTGAGTGCCGCGTGTTTGTATTTGTGCCTCTCTTGATCATTGATTGGAGTAACTTCAAGAGCTTGTTCCACTTCAAGGGTAGGGGGATGATGTGAAACACGCGCGTCCGACCACACAGTCTCAGTGCTTCGCTGTATACCCACAGTGTGAGATAAGATTATTGCTGAGATAGAAAATAGTTGAAGAGCCTTCTGCAGAAATGCACGCTATTAAGTCTCTTACCGAGGAATTTAAAGAGAAATAAAAGCTCTCATGTAGGTCTCTTCCGTGCCATGTCCTCATTCTCCTCCCTGCTTATTTGGAGCAGTGTTGCCAGGCAAAGATGAAAGTGGGAGAACCAAGCCCAGACTGGGCAGCTGCCAAGCGCTGGGGCCTCTGACTCAGAGCTTCGGCAGATATAGGAATAATTAAAATTCTCCCTGTGCTCACTTACATTTCTGTAAATCTTTTCTGTTGAGTCTTTAAAACCAAGTAGGATGTCTGTATGGGAAGTGACTACAGTGAAGCCCTGAAAAAATACAGCTGTAGTCTTAGGTCAGCTAATCAAGTAGGCTTCCGCGAGGTTTTAGTTTAGTTTAGGGATAAGCCTTCTCCCACCTCTTATTATTTTAAACGTTAAGCATTGATACACATAACAGAAATACGTCAGCACGATGGACGTCTTTTCTGTCTGCTCCTTAAGGCCGTGCTCACTAACAGCAGCTGCACCAGTGGGCCCCTGCGTGCAGTCTGTCCTGGGACCTGTCCGGGTGCGCTCGAGGGGGCAGCGCTCGCGCGCCGGGCGCTGCCAGAGGCCCCTGCTGACAAAGTGCCGAGCACCCCCGGGGCTCCCCCGCCTGCAGTTAGAGGGGTGAACCCCCCTCCTCCCCCTCGAAGGCTCTTTCCCCCCCGGGGTCAGAGCTGGGGGGCTGCCGGGGCGGTTTGCTGAGAGCACACGGGAGCAACGACAGCTGGAAAAGCAGAAAAGCTGCCCCAACTCCTCGGGGCGCCGGCCCCACGCCGGGGGTTCGGAGTTTGCAAACCAGCTGGGGAGGGAGCCCCCCAGCTGGCGGGCCGGGCAGCGCTCCGGGGAGCCCAGACCCGTGCCCTGCGCCCCGGGGAGCCTCCCACGGCGGGCTGCGGTCACGCAGTGGTGTTCTGTAGAACCACGGAGCCCCTCGGGTCGGGAGGGACCCTGGGGATCATCCAGGCCCAACCCCCCCGCCCGTCCGCTGTCACGGAAGGAGGGGAGGTGCCCCAAGGCACAAGTGCCGTCCTGCCCCTTCCACCAGCTCCCTGCGCTCCCCACGGGGCCACGGGGCGCCCTGGCCTCACCGGAGACACAGCGTGGGGAAGCTCCGCTGTGCAAAGCCCGTCCCCAGAGCCAGCGAGAGATGTGTGGCGGGTCCGGAGAGGCCAGGTGGTTCTACGATCTTGCTGGGCCAAGTCAGCAGTGCAGTAGCGTTTCGTGGATGGGTGTGTGCAGCATGCTACTTCGAGTGGTTTATGCGAATGTTGCGGTAATGGTGGTCACCTGAGCGGTGGGGATCGCTGAGAAGTTTTGATTATTTCATAACCAGGGGTAGAATTGCTCTCCTGAAAAACACCCGTGCTCAGTCGAGCCTATTTATGTTACACCAGAGAACCTTTGCGCTACCAGAACTGAGCACGCTGCAGTTTGACTTCAGCTTGTTTTGACGTGAGCGTGTACTGTCGTCCGCTGCACCAAGGAATCGCAACAAACCTCTTACGGACCGAATCCTTCAGGTTTCCCTTTCTTTTGTCCTTCTGCAGATCCTCAGAATTTGCACAAGATACACGCCGGAACAAGACACCATGACCTTTTCAGATGGCCTTACCCTAAACCGAACTCAGATGCACAACGCGGGATTCGGCCCGCTCACTGATCTCGTGTTCACCTTCGCCAACCAGCTCCTGCCTTTGGAAATGGATGACACCGAAACGGGCCTCCTCAGCGCCATCTGCTTGATCTGCGGAGGTACCGTGCAGCGCGAACTCGGATGCGTTAGAAAGGACAGATGCAATAAGACCTTAATTTATGTTTTACCTGTTCTGCTTTCCTGAACCCAAACTTCTATATGAAACGTCACTAGATATATGCTATATGAACCACTTAAGGTGCGTTCTCCACTTGTGATCAATCCCTTAGTTTATCACTATACATTTTTAAATGAATGAAATCGTTCTGTCGAGCAAGCGATCCTATTATTTGCCTGATAAAGGACCACAGGATACACCCTGCTGTATTTTTAATTAGTGACACGGATGCCTGTACGGGTGACCTTTGTTATGGCAAGATGCCCGCTACACAGCTTTTACTCATAAATATAATTGCATGCATATGCATGTAGTCACATTCACACAGAAGTAATTGGTGGTAGCTTGCTTTAGAAAAAAAAAAACAATTATACTACAAAACGAGCATAGTGGCACTGATGAGACGATTTGGGGGGGACGGACTGATGACAGTTTGCAAGGGACACTGTCAGGTAAAATCAGGTAAAAATCACGGGTTTCAATACAAAAAGAGAAGTCCAAGCTCATACCCCAAATCCTGTGAATTTCTGTTATTTTAACCACTTGGTCTCTCTCCTGCTTTGCAAGGTCTGGACTAGCACCAGAAACCCACCTTGTTTAGCTGGGCCATTTTGTTGAAATACAAACCGGGTGTGACTGGGGAATGTTTAAGAAGCAAGAGTCAGCCCTTTAGTACGAAATCATTCCGATTTGATGTGGCTCCAGGCACAGCCCGTGACGGGCCCTGGTGGTTCTGCCATGGCATCAGTAGGTGACGTTTCGGGGGGCTGTTCGTTGTCACTCGAGCCAGCACTGCCACCTGCCGATACCTGCTGGCAACTCACTGCATTTTCCTACCGATACAACCAACGAATGAGCTGCAACCCCTCTGTGCACCCGGGTGGCTTATCGGTGCCACATGCGAGACCCGTTCGGAAGCACTGTTTGCAGCGGGGTGTTTTGCCCCGGGAGACAGAGGTACCGGAGCACACGGATAGTTCTGGGCCACTCAGGTGAATGTGAGTTCCAGAAAGCCAGGGTTTATCTCCTTCTGTGGCATGACAGGCTACAGAGAGTGGGTTCTAAGTGGAGAGAAGGGTGAAATTCATGGAGTTCTAATGAAGAACAATGGAGGAGCTCCTGTGATCTGGAGTTCATTTAAAAAAAAACAAAAATAAAAATCATGATATGAGTGATATGATGCTTCCCTACAGATCGCCAGGACCTCGAAGAACCAATGAAAGTGGATAAGCTTCAGGAACCATTGCTTGAAGCACTGAAAATTTACATCCGAAAGAGACGACCCAACAAGCCTCATATGTTCCCAAAGATCTTAATGAAAATCACAGATCTTCGTAGCATCAGTGCAAAAGGTACAGTGTCTCCCCGTGACCCAGCAGTGGAGTCCGTGGTACGTACGTCTCGGAGGAGACTGGCCCGGGGCCCCGGGCTGTTGGGTTTGTAATAGATCGGAGAGGCCCTTGGGGCCTTTTGTCTTCCCTTCTTCCTTAGGTCATTCCCCTGTTAAATTGGTTCTGCTTTACACACACAGGGCCCCCATTCTTTGTAACTCACAGTATAGGGAGGTTAGCAAACCATTAGCACGGGCCCTTTGTTAGTCACTTTAAGACAAGATAAACCCCTCAGGTGAACCGTGGGTAATGC